ATATGGGGCTTTGTCAAGCTGTTTTATACCACTTTTTTCCTCTGTCCCAGCCACTTACTGTACAACTGTACGTGGTAAATAAACTAAACTCAAACTCAAACGTATTTCGCAGAGTTTTACGAATTGAGGTGGCTGCTTCCCCGTGTTGCCGTGACAAAGACGATGCGGTCGATGCATCATCTCTGTAAACCGAAGTGCACATGAGAATTTTTTTTCTGAATAGCACGACGTGTGACACATCCGATACGACATGTAACGTTGTTCATTTCATTATATATTCCTGTATGTACCAGTTGATGAATCCAGTACCGTGTTGATTCGTTGATTGTGAGTAAATATTGTTCCAAATCGAAGAAAGGCACAAAACCAGTACATGAACACTGGTACGAAAAACAGAGAAGCACAGCTGGCGCTTAAAACGTAGTGGCAAGAGCGCAGCCACCAGCAAGCGCACAACATCGGGCTTATCAATTTTGGATATTCTGCTCTCGTACTCTTCTTCATTACGGCACATTATCTAGCTGGCAACGGAGCGCCGTCCCAAAGGAAGCAAACGTAACCTGGGCAAGGCGCACACATATGGAACTTAAATCAGGATATTGCAACAATTATTAGCTCTGCACATAGCGGGTTTGGGTATTCGGGATCATTCTCAAAGTTTGCGACTGAGAGCCGTCTGATGAATTGTCGTGGGAGCTGAATATCGTAGGAACGACTCGCGGGATGACATGGCCACGGCAGGATTATATAAGAGAAAGAAATACCCATTATTCCTGTTGTGCTTAATGTAATGAAACTTCTTAGCAGCCTATGAAGCAGTAAGGCTGCATGTGCGATCTGACGGGCATTTACCACCCTTTAAAAGGCATCGTGAGCATTTGTGGCGGGTGGCTAGCTGTGCTCCATGTCGAGTGCATCGGCGCAAAAACTTGGTCACCAGCAAATGGTAGTTCAAAGGGCGAGCTGTCAGCGCTATTTAGACGAGATAAATTAAGCCGCTCAGCAAGGCTGCTCGTGAGCAGTGGTGAACAGGTGCTCAGCAGAGTTGAGCGCAGCGAACATCAGGTATCATCCACGACCTCTGAGCACCTCGCTCCGTGTACCACGCCACATCAAGACGTCATATACATGGATATGTAACGTTTGTGGCACCTACTTCTGGGCTCGACGCACGTAATGGCGAGGTGCTGTGCTGCTTGGAGGGATGCATTCTATAGGTGCAAGTGCCGCCACAGAAGTGCCGCGTGGCTATAGTTTAACTGAACTGCACCACGCATTCTTTCACTAGAATTGTTTAATCGGTGACTCTGGTCAAATAACGGTAGCTTCTTCCTGGTGCCAATACTGCGACAACCGCGATTGATTATGTTAAGTTACCTTAGGTTGAGTTTGGCGTCTGACGAAGAGAAGTATTTTTGACAGAACGACAACACGCAATACGGCGAAACGACCCTCATTTCAAGAGCTCATTATAACAATCGTTTACAAAGAGAGGAGCTCGGGAAACTGCAAATTGTCTCTATTAGATCAATGCCACTCTCTTACGAGCCATCGAGGCTGTGTCAAAACGTATCGCAGTACCCGTGGCCTCGACCGCATACCGTTGATGAGGATGCACTCGATTGTGCGCTCCCGCTCCTTTCCGCTCGGTGGTCAAGAGCGATGGCACACTGCAATGATTGCCGGCTTCAGTCTCAGTTTATCGAAAGCATTCTACGTGAAGGCTGCAATGGCATTGCCGGGAGGCAGGGCTCACTGCGCGAAGGCTTTGCTACTTTTACGGAATCAGCCAAGTTTAAGCTGCGTTATTCCAAAAGAGGTCTCTGTAGTTCTTTCACACCTTGCTTTTTATTCAAATTCATACACGCTCTCACACAGCTTCCAATGAACTTTGTTTTCCTCCTTCTCTTCTCCTTCATCAAGCCTGAAGCGTAGCCACCGCAACCACTCTAATCGATGACATCACTTGGCGATGCGTGCGATCAAAAACGAGAAGCTGGAGGAAGAATGAAATTTTACGCATTAAGAGACCCCTGTCTGAGGCATCCGCCGATATATTTGTCTTACAAATATCGAACTCAGTTCCATTGGTACGTTAAAATTAGTTCAAAATAGACCAACAGCCGTATTGAAACACGAGGAGCGTCGCTTGTATTGTTTTCGAAACATAAAATAACAAAGATCAAGGGTATAGTCATGGCGTAATCCCCATTCGCGCACGATTGAAAGACTCGTTGAGCGGGCACGAAACAGCAAAAACGACAGTAGCGTGTGACGGATTACGAACTAAGACCTGGAAAAATTTAGCGCTTGATATTTTATGTAATTCGTTTTCTAGTCTCTTCTTTGTAATTCGTTTTCTGGTCTCTTCTTTACGAGCGGTCTCTGGCTGAGAACAGTGCTTTCACACATCTCGACACCCCAAAGGTGCTTTCCGCAAGGGCCCCCCTCATTCACAAAAAAAAAAAACACGTTATACTGTGAAAATGCTTGCAAAAAAAAAAAGACAGCTGATTGTAATACTGCGGCACTGCCTTAGCGCTGCCGGCTTGTTGGACCATCTTCTAAAATTCTGTACTAAATGAAAGTTCTGCGAATTCGGAACTAGGCCATCTTCGACATGCGCGTTTATTGAACATGTGATCCTTGGATATTTTGGATTCTGAATTAAGAACAACAACAACAACAAAAAACTAGAACAACACTCGTCCACCTCGGTGGTGACGATTATGGTGCCCGGTCGCTGTGCAGAAAGTCGCGGGTTCGATTATCGCTGGCCGCGTTGGTGTCATTTCAATGTAGGCAGAATGCTGGAGGACCGTGTAGTGTGTGTTGTCAGTGCACATTGAACACCGTATGGTCCAAATTCCACAGCGCTCTGCCATGTTGGCTCTCATATACATATTATGTTTTTTTCGCGTAAACCCCACCCCAGACCCTATTTTTATTTGAAGGCAATTCTCACAGAAGAATATTTAATATCATCTGTTTACGATCGCCTAGAACATTCTAGGCATTACTGATGAACATAACAGCTGGCTGATCTCAATAAGCACCTAATAGTCTCATCAAGTTGGGTCGATGGCGTAAGCATGCCATTTTGTAACGCATCCCGTGGCCTTGCAGCTATACAAGTTCGCTATCTGAATATCTCTAGTCTAGCGAAAAGTGAAAGTAAAAATACCGAACAGCCCTTAACTGACGTGCCAAGATCAAGCGCCGCAGGTATGAATATCGATGCCTATAGGATGCAAATATCTGAGATGTCGAAAGCGCTACCGTTTAACTATATTGAAGGACACACGTGTTTTTCGCGCAACGAGGAAGACACGCAGTGATTAGTCTGCAGGCACGCGCTAATAACCAATGCGTGCGTACTGCGTTAAGCGATAAGCGCGGGGTCGTTAATCACTCGTTTCTATTCACGCCGCACGCATCACCGACATATCGGCCGTATACACGCACATACCGCGTACACGAGCGCGCAAACGAAGCGCCCTTGGCTTTGAACATGTCCCCCAACATGCTCGCCGAGTCAGGTGAGCTCTGAAGTGTCCTTGCACGTGCCTTCGTTCCCAGCCAAGGTCAAATGCCGCTGCTCACACACACACACAAAAAATGAAAAAAAAAGAGGTTATGTATCGCTGCATTTGTACTAGAAACTTATGAAGCATGAAATGTATCTCTTTGCCTCAAGATTGGCGGTAAGCGAAAATAAAAAAAAAGAACTAGGGAGGGGGGGCCACGTAGGGAACCGCGTTTCAGTTACGCTATCGTCAAACGAAGCATGCAGTGTGAGTGAGTGTTTCTCACAGCAAAATCACTGCTAATCGGCTAGAAGAGGGACAATGAGAATTACTATGAAAAGAAGAAGAAGACGAAGAAGAAGAAAAAGTCATAGTTTCGGCACAAGGACGGAGCAATGAATGCCATAGCCACACATCGGGCTGTTCTACAAGGCTAGAAGATTTAGGAAACATATGAAATGCAGGGAACATGGTCACTTGTGCTTAAATTGACAGTATTGCAGTAAGCACAATATCTAAACAGGTGTTGGGAATAGTTGACTGCATGACGTCTGACAGGAGGCGAAGTCCAAGTTCCACACCATGAAACCCGACAAGCCCCTTGGTTTTCACGTCGAAGTACATTAAGGTTGAAGTATTCACTGACTATTATCGGTACATCCTGTGGGCACACCACAGGAAAGTTGTGCAGCGAGAAGGTCATGACGTCAGTACGCGAAATTCCTGGTGAGATGTACACTGTTGCGACAACACAGCCGTGCGATGTTTTAACGGCGCAAGCGTCCCACAACTCATCTGGGGCAGTGAGTTGAGTTTGTCCGTCGAAAGTGATTGTGGCGGTGCTCATTTCGATAGGAACCGAATTCACAGGCACGAGAGGACCAGCAACTTCCCGAACAGTTCTGGACTTGATGCGAGCAATTCTTTTTGTTGCTTCAGAGTGAAAGTGGAGCCAGAGACGTTTTGGAATGCCCTTTTCATCCCACTGCTTGTGCTTCAGTGAACCCACCCCTCCTTTGATCATGACAACGGACACGTGAATGTTTAGGGAAACTATGGATGCTTGGTCCAAACAAAGTGAATGCTTTGTTTTGTTTGTTCAAGAACGTTTCTTTCAAGTTCAGTGACAGTTAGCTAATACATAGCTCACCGTTAGTGAGATGAACAGCCTGAGTGGTGGGGTCTACACGTTACATGGTAATGCACACGAGGGGGCGCTGGTTCGAATTTGAATATATATATATATATATATTCAAATTCGAACCAGCGCCCCCTCGTGTGTGTTATATATATATATATATATATATATATATATATATATATATATATATATATAAATATATATATATATATATAAATATATATATATATATATATATATATATATATATATATATATATATATATATATATATATATATATATATATATATATATATATATATATATATATATATATATATATATATACACATTCTGGGGACACAGCTTGTTGGAGTGGCCACACTTGCGCTTGCGGCAGTTTGTGGCCTTCGGGTGCAGCCGGGCGTAGCACTTGCGGCAGATCATCTTGGCGCAGTTGTACTTCTGGGCGAAAATGCGAAAAGTGGGCTCGATCACACCACCGAGCAGGCGCAGGCTCAGTACAGGATGCAGCCGGCTTCCAGAGCGTCATCATCCTCCAGTGGTCGGCCTGAGGAGAGCTGCAGGCGCTGCTGGTCGCACGGCGGGCCCAAGCGGGCGCTCAAGTCCTCCTTGAGCTCGGCAACCCGCGCACCAAGAGGCAGGTCAACGACCAGCGTTTGGCCATCAAGGCCCCGCACAAATACGTCAAATGTTTGAGCCATGTGAGCTGATAGCCATCAGCTTGACAGTAGAGAAAGCAAAAACACTTTGACCTCCTTTACCTCCCTTTTCAGGGTTCATTTTATGCCCACGTGTTTCGACGGGATTTGAATGGCGTAGGCTTCACTTCCCAGGAGGCTCGCCCCTGAGGAAGCCGAGTGTCAGGCCGGGGGACGCCTGTGCCCATTTTGTGAAACCAGTGGGTATCCGGCGGCACGTGGGTTCAAACCCACGACCTCCCGCAGCGCGTTATTCGAAGGTCGCAGGTTTGGATCCTGCCCACGGCAAGGTATCTTTTCACCCACTTTTCTTTCATCTCATTTACATTACAGTTGGCCTAATAACTTCCCCTATACCTTCCTTGGCATTCATTATTGTCTGTTAGATCTCATTAATACTGTGTAAAACACGAAAAACGAGCCCTTAAGTATACACTTGTTCCCCTTATATATATATATATATATATATATATATATATATATATATATATATATATATATATATATATATATATATATATATATATATATATATATATATATATATGACACGAAGAAGACGGCAAAAATCAGCCGAGAGTGTCAATAAAATTGCTATCGCATTAATATTAACAATAAGCGCCAGCCCTCCGGCGTAACCAGCACAACATATCTAAAGACGGACGGACGCTTCGCTCCACTCATAATCATTCACTCTGTGTATATATGCTGTGATTTTTTTCGTGTGAAAGAGATTTTATGAGGCATGATTAGTGTCAAGCCTGAAACCAGTCCTGCATAGGTAAGGGCGTTTGATTTCCACTAACGTCATTTGAAAACTGCGGTGCAATGTAACTTACTTATAGGGGCTTTCTTCTTCTCTACATGCCCGGTTTCACTTCCCTACGACATGTAAAGGGAAGAGTATTTCAGCTACACTATAATGTCGTGGGCCAGTTCCCGGAGAAAAGCGGCCAACTGGATTCATAAAATAGTTTACCGCTCTGCATCTCATCTCTTGCTTTCTGTCTCTCTCCCTCTCTGTTGAATTGCGGTTACGTAAGATGCATCTGCTGCAAAGAAGACTGCATGCTGTGGATGAAGCGAAGAGGCTTCGAACTAAATTGTCGGGAGGGTGCGCATGCGAGGGCCCTGTCTAGCTCGCGAGTACTCACAAGCACTGCAGACAGCTTAATTCGTTGCTCCGGCGAGACTGCCCCGCGCCGCGGCTATCAGACTGAAGTGAGAGTGGCCTTGGCGTGTATACGAGACGCGAACTATATGCCGGCCGCTGAACTCGGTGGCAATGTGCGAAACAAGTGTTTTGATACGAGAACACTTCTCTTTCGGTGGCGTCAGGGTCAAAAACGACTGCGAATAATACTAATAATAAAGAAAAGAAGGTTAGGAGAACAGGGCAGCAATTTGAGTAGCCTTAGCGACCGATATCGTGGCGTTTATCTGCATACGCACAACCTTCGATGTTTTGGATGAAATGCACTGAGACAACTGGCGTAACCAGCGGCAGAAAAGAGGGTGGTTGTGGGGAACGCGCGCACGTACATGAGATATGGTTGAACCACAACCTCAGAAAATATTTTCTGGATAAACTATACTGACACGGGTCGTACAGATTGTTACTACAGGGTAAGAGAGGCTATTAAACGAACGAAGGCAGCACAGCCTTGACCCCATATATCAGCAAAACGTGTGCGCTATAAAGCCTCCCCCCCCCCCTTTCGCCTTATACCCATGTTTAACAACATTACATGGACACCCACAAGCCGGCACTTCAATTTAAATTTCATTCTGGTTCGGTTCTTTTATCGTTGAAAACTTGATGATAATATACCCGCCTGGAAAATGACAGAAGTGCATAGTTTTTGAGTCTCAGCTGTCGGCACATGCATTAGCAAACAAATATATGCACGCAGAAGGAAGTTTGGGCGTGATGATAAATCACACTGATGATTGGTATTTTTTATTTTATTTTAGAATACCTCACAGGCCCCGTAAGAGGCATAGGGTGAGGGAGGTATACAGTACAATTTAATACATTGTAAAGGAAAATCTTTCACAGCGTACAATTACAGGGCAGTAGAATAAAACAACATAGAATAAAATAACAAGTAGAAAAGAGATTAACAGATAACTATGCGTGCAAAAAAATTATTTACGCACTACATAGTAAGTATTGCATAGGAGTAATACACTACGAAGTACAGGCACAATAAACGTTATTACAGCCACCATACAATTACGTCTTTGTAAAAAAACAAATGTAAAAAATATATGTAAGGCTTGCCGTCTGAATACTACCTTATGCCATTATGAGAGACGCCGTAGTGGAGGTCTCTGCAAATTTCGACCACCTGGGGTTCTTTAACGTGCATCCAAATCTGAGCACACGAACCTACAGCAGTTTCGCCTCCATCTTAAATGCAGCCGCTGCAGCCGGGATTCGATCCCGGGACCTGTGGGTGAGCAGCTGAGTACTTTAGCCACTAGACCACCATGGCAGGGCAAAGAAATCACATACTGCAGAAACCACAGCGCAAAAACAACAAAAAAGTGGAGAGAGCGCTCGTGCTGTGTTCGTCTCTAGCTCTGTTTACTTCATTAGGGGTGATGCTCCCTAAGCAGTGGGTATGTACATGCATGTCTCTCTTCGTACGTGATCACCTATAGTTTTATAACTCACTCAGCAGGTGCGGACGGACGGACAGACAGACGGACGGACGGACGGACGGACGGACGGACGGACAGACAGACAGACAGACGGACGGACGGACGGACGATTCGCGGTTTACTTATAAAACCCTCCGAAGCTTCGCCCCACTGATTATTATTCACTACGTGGATATGCTGTTTTTGCATTATGGTGTTTGCAGTAGTGGGACTATCCAGGAAATGACAATATTCATCGGATGACTGTGCTGCGACAGAGTTGCAGACTAAACCGCTTGCCAAACGTTTACTTCGGGACACCTCTGAATGTGCGTGCCCAGCCACACGCATGCCTGGTGAAGAGGTAGCGAATGAAAAATGAGATCGACTCAGTTAAAGTACAGCGACGGTTTCTCAATGAGACTGATTCGTATCAGCCTCATTACGAATAGCAGCGCTGCTCGAAGTGAAACGCTGATAACCGCCGTCTCTCTCTGCTTTGCGTGTTCAGAAGACTCGCCGCGGTTGTGCGATGCGAAAGCGTCCTTGCGCCAATATTGTGTGTGCAAACACTGGCTACGAAAGGTATTCAAGCTGCGCCGATTGCGCTTTATTAATGTGTGTCAGTGAGCGCAGTCTTTGCGTCTGCTGACTAGGCTTGTTTGTCTTGCGTTGGAGCGCCCACAAGACGCGCATGGAAAACGTGCAACGAATGGCATACATTTTTTTTTTGTTATATGGGGTGTAAGATATGTTCCCGCTTTTCAATAATAATACTAAAGAAATCACAAAAGACCTAGAACGCAATGTGGTTTTGGGTATAGTTGATATTCTATGTCAGCTGAAAGGAAATCGTCGACATTTACAGACGTATACTATAGAAAGGATGAAGGCAAAGAAACGGAACGGTTTATTCAGCATATATACCGGCCGAGACATTTTCAATAGCTGTTATCTTTCTTTTCCTTTGGTAGTGTAGCAAACGGGATGCTATAATTGATATGCGGGGTTTAACGTCCCAAAACCACCGTATGAATGTGAGTGAAGCCGTAGTGGAAGGCTCCGAAGATTTCGACCACCTGGGGTCCTTTAACATGCACCCAAATCTGAGCACACGGGCCTAAAGCATTTTCGCCTCCACCGAAAATGCAGCCGCCGCAGCCGGGATTTGATCCCGCGACCTGTGGGCCAGCAGCCGAGTACCTTAGCCACTAGACCAACGCGGCGGGGCTGGGATGCTACAATTATAGTTGCCTTTTCTTAATTTTACTGTATATCTCTTTTGTGGACAACAATCTTTTAGTAACTTTTCACGAAGTAAGACAATTATTTGTGCCCTCTGGAAACAATTATTCCCGTTCATCTTACAACGACCAACCGAAGATATAAATATGTTGAGCTTAGCGCTTCGTTTCGTTTATATAACGGATAACACAAGCACCAGAACAGCGTTGCACACTTCATGACTCACACGTATGACGCTAACCTCCTTTTTGTAGTGGCACCTTTTTGATAATCTATACCATCTGGAAAACTAGATTGCAGAAAAGCGAATTTAATTTATACGTAGTGGTCCCAATTCCGTCCAAATCATCGAGAAAAAAAGTCATTTTTGTCTGCAACTTTCCCAAGAGCATGCAAGATACATATATAAACTTATTCTGTTAGCCTAAAGAAAGAAAAAAAACTGGAAATTTAGGTACCCTACCCGTTTTTTTTTTCTTTTGAAGATACAGTATTAAGGTGAACTATCTGACAATAATGCCAAGGAAAATATACGGGATGTTATTATACTTATTGTAATGTAAATGAAAAGAAAGAAAAGTGGACGAAAAATTAACATTCTGCTGGCAGAGACCGAACCCGCGTCCTTCGAATAATGCGTCTGGAGCTCAACTGACCTAGCTCGGCGATCATGCCCCTGTCCACTTTACGGGGTCAATGTGCATTTAAAGAAGGAACCATTCTTCAGCGTCGCCGGTAGCCATGACGGCAAGTGTGGAATGCTTTTTTTTTTCTGGCTCTTTGTGTCACGTATAACGTCATCCTATTACGAACAGGCCGCTGACCAATAATCCCTCGCATATTATCATGAAGAATAAAAGAACGAGACCCTCGCTATGAATGAAGGAAAGATAGGGAAATTTTAAGGGCTATTACGGTAAGCTTTACTACTGGTCAAACTATAATTTTCACAAGAGAAAAAAAATTATGTGAATTCCCACATTGTGCCTGTCACTATAGGGAAGCTGGCTGCCCAATCGTTTGGGAGTGACCATTTTCGCGAATTCGGCCGCTGAAGACTTTCGGAGTTATCTTCGAGCACCATTTAACATGGCCGATACATGTGCACATATACTTACACGTGAGA